TGATGAAAAAACCTAAAATGAGAGGAAAAAGATGTAACTCCATAATGGATAAGATTTTATTTCGATAAATCACACAGTGTTGTACAGTTATATTAACTGATGACGTTTCGAGCACAAACTATTGCTCATAATCATATCAAGTTACTCACACAACTTCTTTCCTTCATTTATATACATGTGTGGAATCGATTAGATATTGGAATAAAATTCAATATGAGATAATGTACATTCAGAAACAATAGCACGAATGTTAATAATCCATTACAATTAAATGGGAAATACGACGAGTGTTTTCATAGTCAAAATAAGTTAATTGTTATAATGTTATGATGTGTTTGAATGGAAATAGAATTTTAAGATTATTTATTATCCTCTTCTGATTTGACCGGTGGTAATAATATCTTCCATATTTCTGGTATTTGCATTGAGTCACTTCTGTTGCATGTGTTGGGTGTAGACTCGATGAATAAGGATTCCGTAATCAACCTCCCTCTCCGCCTACCTAGATTACTTTTTAGAATTTTAACCCTATCCCACGATATTGTGTGGTTGTTTGTTAATGCGTGAAGTGCAATAGCTGAGCTTTTTTCTAAATTACTTATCTTTTCAGGGTCAATCAGTTTTCCCTTAGCTAAATTCTTATGTTCTGATAATCTGACTATCCCTGACCTACTAGTTTGACCTATGTAGTTGACCTAACTCACAGTCATTGCAGGGTATTTTGTAAATTATATTATTTTGTCTAACTGGGTCCAACGGGTCCTTCAACCTACAAAGTTTGTCTCTGAGTGAGTGTGTGCGTTTGAATGCCACCCTAATTCCTGCTTTATTGAGAATCCTACGTAGGGCCTCAGATGTCCCTTCCTTATATGGTATAACAGTAGAAAATTTGTATTCTCTCTTATTTATGTTATTACTACTAGTTACACAATTATTTTTATTTTGTTTTTGGCCTTTACTGATCTTCTTAATGAATTCTAAAGGGTAGTTATTTAACACCAACTCTTCTTCTATCTGTTTTATTTCATCATTAAGGTCTTTTCTTGTACTACTTAGTGCTATGGCTCGGTTTGTCAGACACTTCACTAAGCCTGCCTTAACAGTTAACGGATGAGACGAATTAAAGTCTAAATATCTTTTAGAATGCATTGGTTTTCTATGCACACTAGTGTGTAGTTTGCCTTCTTCTATTCGTTTTATCTTACAATCTAACATGGCTAATTCCCCTCGTTCATTTTCTGATTCAAATGTGAATTTTATTCCTTCTACTTGTGAGTTTATATGTGTTAAGAAGCTAGAGATATGTTCTGTTTTTAACACTGTGAATGCGTCATCTACATATCTCCATCATATTTTTGGCGTAGGATTAAACGAATTAAGAGCCATATTTTCCCAGCTGTCCATAAAAATGTCTGCTACAATAGGGGATATTGGTGATCCCATTGCTACACCTTCTGTTTGTCTATATATTTTGCCTTGGAACTTGAAGATAGTAGATGTGACGCATAACTGAATCCCTAAAATAATTTCTTCAATGGACAGCTTTGTCCTATGACTAAGTTCCGAATCAGAAGTTAGTTCTCTTTTAACCGCTTCTAAGGCCATATTGACTGGTATATTAGTGTAAAGATTAGCTAATGAGTCATCCACCCATAGGGTTGAAATCCAATGTCAGATTGCGGGGGCGTCATGTAGGCGATGGGTTCCAAGGGAATATTATTCTCACAGTAAGAATCATTGTATTTGTTGGTATTATCGTCTGAATACTTTTCGCACAGTTCAATACTGCATACGAAAGAGAATAATATGTTTACGTGTACATTCTATTTCATGTCGTTTAATGTAAACCAAACTGACACACTCAGTGATTAGTTAAAGAATATATACACTGTATAGATATAAATAACAGTTTGACCAATAAAAATTTACCTTGACTTCCGTGTCTTGTAAGGATTTGACTTGTTTTCAGGTTTGACCACAAGTTGATATCACTCAGTTAGAGAACCACTGAAAACCATCATGGAGTACTGAACAGCTGTTTCATCCAGTATTTATGAAAATAATGGAATCGATACACAGTACACCTTTTTGTCAACTGTGACAGAAATACCTCCCAGTTTTGCATGGATGTGTCAACAGAGAAATTAAACCGTATTCTATGGATGTATTCACCTAAATGGCTCTAGATAATGACATTTTGTTGGTCCCATGAGTTCCGAGTGAAACGTGGAGCTTCAACAGAACATCTCCACCTTGTCCTATTTTCTGCGGTCCCCTTTAGCTGGCCTCTTGATTGTCCACCCTAACACACTTCAGCGACTCAGGGATTGACTTGCTACCAGAGAATAATCTCGTCGACTTAGAATATGCGGACGATATAGTCCTTCTAGGCGAGGACGCTGACAAAATGCAGAGTCTACTGAACACCTTGAGCAACAATCTTCGTA